GGTCCCAGTCTACAAAGTGTATTTCTAGTCTCTGTTTCCCTCCTTTCGTCTCAACACTCGGGAGGTCGAGAGTGACTGCGCCGGGGCATCTTACGGTGAATAGTGATCGCAATTCTTCTTTGCAGTGCCGAATAAGCGATCCCATTCCGCGCGTATTGCCTTGAGTATAATTGCTGGCTTGAAACTGCGGTTGCCTCTCACTACCGAGTGAGATGTGCTACATCGCATTTGCGGTGTGCATAAAAAGTATTTGAGCATGCTTTGCCTTCTTTAGGCAAAACTTACTGGGAGAGACATGCAGTCCCTTCTCCTACTGCTCTATGCGTTATTGACCTGTACTCAGCAGAATGACCTAGCTGGGCACGAGTCCGTCGTCGAATTGAATTTCCAGTGGTGATCTGTGAAGAAGGCTTATCTTCTCACTGCTAAGCAAAGATTTTCGGGTACCCGACCCGAAAATCAAGACGCGGTGGGAGGGCAGGGTCAGCGAACCGCGACGTGTCTCCTGTCGGGAGTCGTAGCGCGTACTGTGCGATGTGGGATGCATTGTAGGACATTCTCTTAACTTGACGCTTAACCACTGCAATGCGCGCTGCGACTCGCCCGCGACCCTGCCTTCTTGCCGCGCGACGGGCCTCCTGATGGGTACCCAAGATTTTCCATAACTGTGAGGTGAACGAGGTCCGAACCTCTATCATTATGATATATGTTGGACCCCATCCTTACTTCTGTGCACTTCCGAGATAGCAGACGATAAGGTAGTGCATGTGGTGTGTGGTTGTTGTGCTCACATTAAGTCCAACCGGGAAAGAGGTATTGTATTTATGAAAATTTTGAGAGGAGACGTATTTGTCGTTGTTGCTCTCCTTTGGAGTTAGGGAAGGGGTCTTCAGAGATTTGGAGGAAGAATTTTTGGCAGCAGTGCTTGGAATATGCTAAACTGTGCAGAAATTGCAGTTTATGGGAAGGTATTTATCCGACAACTCGCTAGGCGACAGTTTTGGAAACTTTAGGGGTTTTGGAGTTGGTCATTTGGTGTCATAATCACACACTACTAGAAACAGTTCTAGTTGGCTGCGGCGATGGTGGTAGAAGTGGTGGTATGGGGTGGGGAGCAGAGAGCATCGAATGGGGGAACCGAGTCCAAAAGGTCTTTTAAGGGAGGGTCGTGAAAGTTTCAAAATCGGCAATACAGATAGTAGCCCCCAAATAATGCATTTGTATGCACAGTGAATCTATTCTGGGAGGGTGGAGGGAGGGGGGTAGCACGGCATACGAGCTAAAGCGAAGTTGAAACTGCGTGTCATCAAGCTTCATTTCACCGCGGCACAGCGGATGGAAAAGGAGTGGAGGGGGACCTTTTTTATTCAGTGCTGATTGCCTTGTACCAGAAATCAGTTGTTAAGACAATTACTCAAGTTTTTATGCCCATCAGTTCTATTGAAGCAATTCAACCCTTTTAAGCTTGAAAAATGAGAGTAACCAGCCTGATGTCTTCTGTTTAGGTCAATATGCATGCGCAGCCGATCGTGAAAGGAGTAGGGTTGCGGCCGGCCCA